TGTGAGCATGTACACTAAAGTTCCAACAACTTCTTGTTTCATGGCGAATTATCGATTTTGGATACCTCGCCATGGGCACACTGTTCAACAAAAACTCACCGTTTGTACAGGTTTTAATCGTCAGTGGCTTTAGAATAGACTGAAGTCGGTCAGAGTGATTCTGTAATTCTGCCACAGAAATTTCCTATATGTAGGTGAAATGTGCTGGGTGGGCCAGCAGGTGGTGCTATGACTATGGATGAATATTGGCATGTACATTTGTTTATAGTGGGACTCTTATCAAATGTATAACATTTTGTAAAGATCTGAGCATGTACAGTCAAGTTACAACAACTTCCTGTGTCATGTCAAGTTTTACAACATGGCATCGTCAATGTGTTAAGGGTTTTCTGGGACAGTTTTGAAGTTGATATGGCCAACCTGCTAGGAGTAGTACATCATAGTGTAAAACGTGACATTTCCTCTTGCCAGCAGGTGGCGCTATGACTTTGAGTGAATGTTGGCATATGGATGTGTTTCAGGATAGGACTGTTATCATACAAGTCAAATTTGGTGCAGATGTGAGCATGTACACTAAATTTATAACAACTTCCTGTGAAAACTCACTTTGTACAACTTTTAATTGTCAATTGGTTTAGACTGCTCAGCGAATTTGAAGTCGATCGGACTAATTCCCTAGGAGGAGTGTGTTAAAGTACGCACCCTGTAAATGGAGAAAAATGGGTTAAATTTCACTTTCAATAAAAAATGGCTGACTTCCTGTTGAGTTAAGGGTATGGGTCCTTGAGGCTTTTTTGTGTGTCTTGATATGTAAATGTAAATGCTCTGTATTTGTATAGCGCCTTTCTAGTTTTTGTGATCACTCAAAGCTTTTACACTACATTGCATGCATCATTCACACACTGAGCCCAAGTGCTCAAACAGAAACTAACATTCACACACATTGAACTGCCAATCTTCCGATTAACGGGACATCCACTCTACCTCCTGATACACAGCCGCCCCTACACATGTCCCCGAACAATTTCTTGAATGTAGGTTACACATGGCGTGGGGGCTAATTTTTTCCAATTTTTTGTGCAAGGCCAAGTTTGGTGAGTTTTTGATCGTGTTAGGCCTCCAAAAATGAGTTTACTTTGTGGAAAAAGAAAAAAATCCTTCAGTTCCAATAGGGACCTTGCATGTTTCATGCACGGGCCCTAAAAAAGCAACTCTTCAGTTGAATACTAAGGCATTCAAGGGTTAGCATAGAAAATAGTAAAAATGCACTGACTTTAGGTGAAGAACAAAAGATACCTACGTACGTTTAAGAAAACTAGGATACAAAAAAAGAATGCAAAGATGTTAGTTCAAAGCGGTTTTAGGGGGAAAGTCCCAGTCGAGCTCTTGTAGGCAACTAGCCAAATGAAGAGTTTGGGGCGTGGAGGAAGGTTTTCACACTGAAAACTCCTATTCCTTTGTTTGAAATTTTTAAGATGGCTACTCAGGTTTTCTGACTAGTGATATTTACTTAAAGTTTTAGTTAAATTCACATACTTGACTACATCACTATAGTCAGTCAACAGTAAATCAAAATATGAAATAGAATAGTGGTTATCAAACATGAGGGAAACATGATTTAAGCAACAACTATTTTAGCAGATCATTCAGTCCTTTACCTGACATTCCTGGCTAACCAGCTGTTGAGATGATTCCTAATACTATTTAACTTTCAAAGCATTATTTCCAGCACTATAGGTGGCATAAATTAAACAACACAGTTTGCTTTACACAATATAATATATGTACAAAAGACTCTTAACCTTCTCTTACATTGTTTAATACCCATTCTGTGTTCTTTAGTTGAGACAGTGAGAGAGCAATCAGGTCGGGTAAATTTAAAAATGCTATAGTTACTAGACGTAACTCCAGTTCTATGAGTGTGCATGAGTGAGATAAACTTTATATTTTAGTATTTTACACACAGGTCCAAAAGACACACGCACAAACAGGACTCATAGCAACACAAGGAGAGATGTCAGAGTGAGGGGGCTGCCACTCTGTGCAGCGCCCGAGCAGTTGGGGGTTCAGGGACTTGCTCAAGGCCTTCTTCAGCAGTCTCCAGGAGGTGAATTGGCACCTCTCCAGCTACCAGTCAACACTCCGCAACTCTGGTCCAAGCTGGATTCAAACCGGCATCCCTCCGGTTCCCAGCCTAATCCTTATGGACTGAGCTACTGCTTTGTATTAAGTTGACCTAAGAACCTTTTCTATTTAGTTTCAGGCACACTTCATGTTGGATATGTTTAAAGGAATGTCAGTGTTAAAGAGTGTGGATCGCTAAATGCCTGCTATGCTGTTAAGAGGGCATTAATCACAGGTGTGGGGTATATATTGCTCTCATTTAACTTGCACGTTAGACAGTATATTCTCACATATTCCTGTTCAGATAATGATAGGAGTGTTGTATGATGTACAGTATATGTAACAGTATTGTACTCATTGTTTTAATTTCTTTGTTTATTGACAGATACCACACCCACACACATTTATCTCCTGAATACAATAACGTTGAACCATCCTTCCATCTCGACTCTCATTACCTGTATGAAGTCAATGCCTGCCCTGTACATCCTGGCCTTAAGTAGTGTTCTGGCTGGTGGCTTAAAGAAACGTTATATGTTTTGTAAAAAACACATTTTTTGCTGCTGTTATGAATGTGACATTAGTTAAAAAGTCAGGAGAGACTGCTTTGTTTGGGTGTGAAGGGGGGTGGCACATATGTATGGGATAATTATCAACTCTGACGGCCACATACTGATTTTCTATTTTTTTTACTGGGCGTATTTAAAATCGTATTTGATTGTTTGATTGAAGAGTTGAATTGAGGAGCATAATTCTGTGCAGCATATATTCGTGTAGCCCCTCCTCTCACTCCCTCTCTCTCTCTCTGTCTCATAAACACCACTGCACAAACCTGTCCAAAGTTAGAATATAGCTGGGTTGTCGGGATTATTTAAATGGGAGGATAGCGGGCGAGAACAGAAAAATACAGGAGTATCCCGGGAAAAAGTTGACAGGTATGATTTATAGCTATTCTGTCCTGTTATTCAGTCAATGGCTGTGTTGTCAGTGTTGGTAAACAAGAGGTTAACTCTTGGTGATAACAGGTTGGTTAAATAGCTAATTCACATGAATTCATATTTGTCTGAATAGGAACATATAGAGATGACACTAATGATAAACGACTGGGAACCCTTACCTTAAACTCCATCAGGGGGTGAGAAGAAAGAGAGAGATGGTGTTTGTGTTTGCATGGGTATGTGTGTGAGTGACACAAGGAGGGGAGGACAAGAGGTGGTCATTACATTATCTTATTTGAATAGATTTCGGCTAAAATAAACCAAAGGGTCCTGTCTGAGTATTACAAATAAACTTATCTTCCTGGATGTGATTTCATTGTCTCACTGGGACCTTAAACACCACAGCCACACCAATACATGTACGTTTGCTGTTTTAAAGCAGTGCAGCTTATACACACACACACAAGCCGTGTAAGCCGCTTTCATAAAAAGACTCGCGGAAACAATATCTGCCCCATATGCTGCATTCACTCATTCATACTGAACAATAGGTTTCTCATAACCACGTGTGCTTTCACAGAACCAGAAAAATAGAAAAAGACCATTATGTGTAACATAAGCATGCTGGCTGTGGCATTCCACACAGACATCGTTCCATCTCTGTTACTACAAACGTTTCCGGCTCAGAGGCGGATCGAATACTAACAGTCCCGGAAAATAAGGCAGTGTGAAAGTGCGTATTTGCAGGAATAAATGAAATGGTGAATGATCATTTCAATCTCAGCTTGACAAACAATAGGCCGGAGTTTAGCAATGTTCCCCAGCTGGGAAAAACAAGTTCAGAGTCAATACCTGGTCAAAAGTGACCCCTAGATTTCAGAGATTAGATTGACCTTATGAAGCAAAGGCACATAGCTGTTTTCTACTCTTCTTAACTACACATTTGAAGTACTTTCACTCCACATCCAAGTTGGGATTGATTTGTGGGCAGACTCTTTGCAACACAGCCAGGGTAGTGAAATGTTTTCAAGTTTCAGGACTCACTGTGGCAGTCTCAGGAAACCGCATGGAGATTTTCAGATGCAAGATGATCAAGACCCCCGAAATTGAAACTGCTGTTTATGATTGATGCTTAAATGAACATGACGTGTGGAAACATCCTAGCCTGGCTTTGTCTGGGGAATAATTCCTAGTGTCTCGATGTTGTTTGAAGAAATAGATTAAACACATTAGTAAGTCATTGCCTACACAAACATGCACAGTACATAGTGGCTGCAGAGAATATTTCTGAAACCTGTCTGTGAAGATTTTCAGTTATGCTGGTCATAGTTATCCAAGGCGGGTTAAAATCAAGGGCAACTGGCTGTTTAATCTTGATCATTATGTAAATAATGGATACCACTTGGTTCGTTGGTGCTCTTGGCTGTTGCTGTCCTTTCATTTCCTCCCAGGAGATTGAACAAACACTCATATTTGGCCTCATGTGACAATACCAACGGCTGTTCAGACCCAGGCTCTCTGGGATTTACCTCTAATGTGGTTGCAGACAGAAACACTAACAAACCAAGCGTTATCCATCACCTTGATAACGACCCCACAGAGGTTACATGGATGAGATTCCCTGCCAGTCATAACTTGAATGAGAGGCGAAACATCTTCAAGTATCTTCAAACAAATCCAGTTGCCCTTGATTTTAACCCACCATGGACTTCTGAAACATGTTTAGTTCACAGTAACAACTGGCTTACTAACTGGGCACCTGCCACAAGGCCCTAGACAGTTAGGGGTGGAATCATGGTCAGCATCTAATATTTGCTTTGCTGACCCTGTTCACGGTACACTGAGAACCAATCATAAGCAGGACTTCAGACTGTATGTAACATATGTTTTTATAAACTATAAATCTAAATATTTTCTTTCTTTCTCACTGTCTTACAGGACCTCCAGTAAGTACACCAGACGCCTTGTGTGACCTGCTTGTGGTAAAGTGACTTGTAATTTTTACACTTTGGTGTGATGTAGATGAAATGGAAAATATAGTTACTTTTCTGGATGCAATGATAATGTGTACATTACTTAATGATGTGGCTCTTGTTTCTGTCATGAACCAAATGTTTTGTATACATGTTATAGTTTTAACCTACACTTCAAATTGTACACACAGTTTTGATTTTTACATATCATTTAAGTCTTCCACTTTTTTAGAATTCAATCTGTGAATTAAATATTTAAGTACCTGGGGCCTCATTTATAAAATAGACTTACGTATGACCATAGACTGTATTAAAAAAAGTGTACATAGTCAATGTGAGGTCACCAGTTTGGCATTTTGGACGTCGCCATCTTGTTTTTTTTTAAACAAGCCATACCTCCTCCACTCTAGTGCTCAGCACCAGACAGTACCCACCCAGCCACAGCCTGTTCGCCCTGCTGAACTTCTGTGAAGAGATACATATGTATCTGCTGTCATACCACCAGACTGCAGAGCAGCTTTTTCCCCCAGGCTGTGAGACTAAATTCATCCTCAGCACTCAATAGAAAACTGTTTAATTGCTATGACTTGTTATTTATCCACTCACCCATATTTATTTTGTATATAATATGCTTTTTGTGAGTAGCATAAAGGGAACTACTTTATCTCGTAAATCCTTATGGTGTAAAATGATAAATAAATCTACCTTGTAAGCACACCATCAGAAATGATGAAGTATAAATCTAAGAACATTTTTGAAAATGAGGACCCTGGACTCTTAGCACTGTTACCTTCACAACAAGAAAGCTGTAGGTTTGAATCTACTGGCCAGCTGGGGTTTTTCTGTGTGGATTTTGCATGATCTCCCCACCTAAATTATTAACTCTAATTGTGTATTCACATACAACACAAAATTAATGTTCGCCTTGCATTATTCGCGCAAGTTTAAACACTGGTACCATATTTTTACTGCGTTTCACCTGCTGCAGAGCTCTCCTGTCCTCGGCCGTGCACATCCCATGCCAGTTATTATTACTGGTCAGCAGCTGTGGACTGCCTCCATTCCCAGATTCGTCACATATTCATAAACATATTCCTGCCGAGTTTTAAGTTGCATTTCTGTGGCAATCATGATTGTATATGTGAACACTACACAAACTTTTTATGAGGTCGCGCCAAGCTGATTTCGAACTCACTAGAAGTAGTAGCTGAAATGCCTACGAGCTAGTCGCACATTCACCGATCTTTGGCTTCCAGTCACGTATTGATTAGGTACGTCAGTATCCAGGTAACATTTTGTTTGGGGCTGATCTATCAATCTTACAAAATACCTGAACATGTTTATCAAGGGTTTTTTCTCAAGGCTACAGCAACATTGGCCACTACATTACACACTAATACAGTCTAAATACATGAAATTATTGTCGACAATGAGCCACAGAAAGAGTAGAAAACAAGTGGTAGCCTAATATTCTGCCCACAACACAATAGGCTACCAATATGGACTTAATTCACAGTCATTATCTTTCCTTTTGTGTATATATACAGCCACTCAGACCTTTATTTTCCAGTAACAGCTCGTCAATACCGCATTTTAATGCCAAGCTTTAGCTGCTCCAAATTATGCGGCCAGCACGGTGTTCCATTGAAATAGGCTAATAGCCGAAAACATTTATAATTATGTATTTAAAATATTAAATTAAAAACAACCAGGCAGTTAATATGCACACTTCAATATATGTTTGTTTATCGCAAGTGATATGTCATCTCAATATATTTTCGCTCAATACGTTATCGCACATTGAATATTTTCCTCATACCCTGCAGGCCTACCTCATGCCCGTTGGGTCTGGTCTTACCAAATAACCATCACTAAATAATAGTAAAGTATCGATAGTGGTATCACCAAAGAATCGGATTGTTAAGCAGTCTCAATAAGGGTATCAATATCAATAAAAATTAACGATCCTCATCCCTAGTAAGCAGTATAGCATGTAGAAACACAGCCATATTAAAAAGGCAGTAAGTGCAGTGCACATGCATACACAACAGGGTACCATCATTTCTGTTTAAATAGACATTTAGCTACTTTTTGTCGGGCCTGAACTTGGCTCAGGTAACTGCAGGACTGATGAGAGGAATGGCAACAAGTGTGTGAATGGGTTTGGCAGTCAGGTGATGTGGGAAGGAGGGAATGTCCAAGGGTATCTGGTGGACTGATGGAAAATGGCAGTGAAAGGGCTTGAGGAACCAGAAAAGTGGCTGAAGAGGAGGGACAGAGAAACAGACTCAAAGTCAGCCTGATTTAGTAGAAATACTACTTATCTATGACTAGCCAAGCGTCAGCCACACTAACCCAGAGCCTCAAGACTGAAGTGCAACTACATTTCTGACATGGAGGAGAGCAGTGTATAAAATGAAGAATCTACAAACTAAAATGTGTGGTTTTAGTTCATAAATCAATGATAAAAAAATAGTTGTAGTTTTTTCCTATGTCCCTACTGTTATTTCAGGTTTATATTGGGTCTAAGGGGATTGGCTATGAGCCCATAGGTCAAAAAGAGAAGAAGGGAAGTCTTTATCAAACCACTTTTTGAGAATTTCCAGTATGTTGATTTCAAACCAATTAGCATTCCATCCTTTACCTAAGAGCTGCTCACACAAGAAGCAACGGTTTGTGTTCCGTTCACACAATGAAAGAAAAATTCACTTGACTTTTGACAATGTGCCGCTGTGCCCCTACTTGTTCTGAAATCTATTGTATTCTAGCTCTTTGTGTTTTGTTTTTGATGCTGCCATGTTGTTATATCCACATTAGCAAGGTATTCTAGTTGGGTGAGGTCAGTTCAGAGTTTTGAAGAAACATAACAACTTTTAGCATGCAAAACCTCTCTGTGGTGAAAAGAAGATTTTCCATGTTCAGAAAAATCTTTTGTTGTGTTAAAATGTGATTCACTAAATGCCTGTTGACCAGTTTAAAGTTTAAAGAGGCATGCTACTGCATAAGCAGGCTTCTTTCTGTGTGCTGTCACTGAGCTGAAAAGGCCAAAATAAAACATAAGCAAGACAGTAATTACCTCTAGTCTCTCCAAATATTTTTTTCTGGCCTGGTTCCGTGCAGGTATCTATATGTGGACTTTATCTGTAACATTTACTCTTTCCTTTTTGTACCAATTTTCTCTCAACCCTTTTCTAGGGTCCTCCTGGACGAGCAGGCTTTCCGGTAACTGTCTTCTTAACTTGTGTCTTTGTGTGTCTTTATATACAGCATTTGCATGTGTTAATAGCAATCACTGCAGTGTTAATCCCTCCGCTTGCTCTCTCCTGAGTAGTTGTCTTTATTTTGATTTCCAAATGAGTTTTAATGAAAATGGACACAGCAAAACTAAATATATCCAGCTGTTGTCACTAGATGGTAGCCGTAGCTTTCCCAGGACATTTGTTTAAACAGTGAACACATATCCATTAACAATTCTGTCTCAACAAAATACATCTATATCCTACTAATTTGTTTTACTAAATGTGTTTTTGAGGAAACATTCTTGCTGCGTTGATTAAAGCGAGGCTGTGCAACTTTTGAAAGAAGATATAACTCAAACTCTGAAATACACATGAAAGGTTGAATTCACAAGCATTACCTGGTGTTCCTTGGTCTGGGATGACCATTGGCTTATGGTAGCTAATTTTATGTACTGCAAACTCTGTGTTGCTGTGTAAAAAGAAAGTGTCAGTTCCCCTTCGAGGGAACTCGAACTGCGTCGGTTACGACACTATGGGAACGCCTCTAGGCGAAGCAGGTCTGAACGTGAATGAAATCACTCCAATCCTATTGGCCTGTTGCTAGAACGGTAAGGTGTGACGGAATAACCGGAGGAGTATAAAGCACACCTGTACACACTCATCATTAGCTTTTTTCTATTCAGCAGGCGCTCTTGTATGTTGTTTGAAGAAAGCTCCAGTCCTACAAGCAGTGTGTCTTACCTGAAGAAGAAGTCTACCAGCATGTCCGGCAACCAGATGTACAGAAGGTGTGTTTTTTCTTGCCCTCGGTACATCACGGATGGAGATTCTCATGAGATGTGTGTCTCATGTTTGGGGATGGAGCACGCACGGGCAGATCTCGAGGGGGCTGCCTGCGCCCGTTGCGAAGCCCTTTCCGTGCGGGTACTGAGGTACAGCATGGCTCTCTTTCCGAGGATGGCCAGATGTGTTTTCCCCGTGGCGCGGGCCCTGCGGCCGCTGAGGCGGCCCGGCGGCTTCACTCATGGGTTCACAGCGTGATCTGTCGGAGGATTTCGGGACAGCTGAGGCTTCATCCGCTGGCTCCGACGCTTCCTTTCCTCGTTCGGGAGCCCGTTCTCGGCTTCTCCCGCTCGCGGTTTGGATCCGGAGACGCTGCAGCAATCCGACTCCGAGGAGGCGGACGTGCTCAGCGCAGTGGACGATGACTTCCGGGTGTCGTGGCGGCGTCATCTGGCCGCGCCCGACTATGACGTGCTGCTGGAGGTGGTGACTAGAGCCGTGGCTAAGCTCAACATCAACTGGCCACGGGAGGAGCAGACACCACAGGCTAGTGGTAGCTTGATGAAAGGTTTCTTAAGCACCACACGCCACCTCCACGGCGGTCTCTGCCATTCTTTCCTGAAAAGAAAGTACATGATGAACTGAGTAATCATGGGGCAGACCCTTCTCTACATGGCTTTCCACACCCCAATCACTGAACTACAGTAATGTGATGGGGGTTAGGGACCGTGGTTATGGGAGGATGCCTCGGGTGGAGGATGAGTTTGCGAGCTATCTCTCCCCTCGACTTGCGTCCTCCCTGGAGAAGCCGGCGTTACCATCCAAACCATGTCGCACCACATCCACGCTCGTGGGGAAGGCGTACATGGCAGCGGGCCAGGCAGGTGCGAGCTTGCACACCACGGTGCTTCAAGCCTACCAAGCCAACCTGCTACAGGAGATGGTTCAGAGGGGGGGTCCCTCCGAGGAAGATCTGGCGGAGCTTCGCAGAACCACGAAGCGTTAGACGCAGTGCGAAGCGTTCCGCCAGTACCTCCCTCACCGGTCTGGACCCAAGGCAGCTGAGGCTGCCAGGCGTGGGTCCCTTCCCTCTACGAGCTCCTACGGAGAGGAGAGGAAGCAGAGTGTTGCTTCTCGGGGCCCCCCCCGAGGAGCTGGGGCAGCGAGACGGCACTCTCACCCTCAGCCGTCTGAGAGACGCGATCTGAGGACCGTCATCCACTCCCGACGGAGCTCAGGGAAGACCGGGGTAGGGGAGTCTTTCTCCCCTCCCGCACCCCCCCCCCCCGGAGGCCGACCGAGGTCCCCTCCGCCGTGGCAACAGGTGATGTTATCCCGCCGTTTACACGTTCAGGACGCACCTGCCACCATCGAGTCCGCGCCGTACTGCCTGCCCCGAGGGTCTGCAGGCGGACGGCATCCCGACTCACTCACCGTGGATCTTCGGCGGCTCCCCCCTGCCGTTCTGGGGCTTCAGGGGTCCACCAGAAGATCACACGAGACACCGACCACCAGCCCCGAGGGGCTGGTTCCGTTGGCAGACTTTGCAGACGCTTGGCGGAGCCTGACGAACATTTCTCCGCGGGTCCTGCGCACTGCCATAGATGGGTATTGACTACAGTTCAAAACCCGCCCTCCAAATTCAACAGAAGAGAGGGGGTGGTTTGGACTGTGGTCCGCCCGGAGCAAGGTCCGGTGTTGGGACAGGAAGTTTGTACTCTGCTGAGGAAAGGGGCCGTGGAACGTGTCTCCCCCCCAGACAGAGACGCCGGTTCTACAGCCGGTACTTCATAGTCCCCAAGAAGGACGGAGGGCTGCGTGCCCTATTTTGGATCTGCGGGTTCTAACCGGTCTCTGAGGAGATTCAGGTTAAAGATGCTCATCATCCCCGCCACCGTGACGCACATCCAATCTGAGGATTGGTTCATCACGATAGATCTAAAGGACGCCTATTTCCAGGTCTCCATCCGTCCTTCTCACAGGAAGTTCCTGAGGTTTGCCTTCGGGGGTGTGGCTTACCAGTATCGGGTTCTTCCATTCGGCCTGGCACTTTCCCCTCGCACATTCACCAAGTGTATGGATGCAGCACTGGCCCCGCTGAGGCTCCGGGGCATCCGGATTTCAACTTCATCGACGACTGGCTCATCCTAGCCCAGTCTCGAGAGTTGGCGGTTCGGCATCGAGATGTCGTTCTGGCTCGTCTGCGGCGTTTAGGGCTGAGGCTCAACGCAAAGAAGAGCGTGCTGGCGCCCACCCTACGGGCTATGTTCCTAGGGGTTGCATGGGATTCGACAACAATGCGGGCACAATTGTCTCCGGCACGTGTCGACACCATATTGGCTGCCGTGAAAGGGGTCACGCCATCACTATGAAACACTTTCAACGAGTGTTGGGTCTCCTGGCGGCTGCGTCCAGCTTAGTACCATCTGGACTGCTGCAAATGAGACCCCTGCAGTGGTGGCTAAAGAACAAGGGTTTTCCCCCAGGGGAATCCTCTCCGTCTGGTTTGGGTTACGCGCAAGTGTCTTCGTTCCCTATCAGTTTGGAAGGAAACTTGGTTCCTGTCCCAGGGGCCCGTGCTGGGAGGGTCTTGTCGCCGGCTGGTTCTTTCGACAGACGCCTCCCTCACGGGCTGGGGCGCGGTCATGGACGGCCGCTTTGCAAGTGCATCGATCCGAGTGGCATATCAACTGTCTCGAGATGTTGGCGGTGTTCCAGGCTCTAAGGAGTTTCCTGCCCGATCTCCAAGGCCACCACGTCCTGGGTCGTTCCGAGGAGAACAACACAGCGGTGGTGGCCTATCTGAATCACCAGGGCGGTCTGCGCTCGCGCCCTCTGGACAGACTGGTGCGTCAGATCCTCCTGTGGTCCCAGCAGAGGTTACTATCGCTCAGGGCGATGTATCTCCTGGGGACGCAGAATCAGGGAGCAGACCTGCTGTTGAGGCAGGGGCTGAGGCCCGGGGAATGGAGACCTCACCCCGAAGTGGTGGAGCTCTTGTGCGAAGAGTTCGGCCCCATAGACGTGGATCTGTTTGCGTCTCAAGAGACTACGCACTGCCCGCTATGGTTTCTCTCGTTCCTCCAGCCCCGTTGGGTCTGGACGCCATGGTACATTCGTGGCCGAGGCTACGTCTGTACGCTTTTCCCCCAGTCGCTCTGCTCCCGGTTCTGGAGCGGGTCCGCCAGGACTATGTCGGCCTACTGCTCGTAGCCCCGTTCTGGCCAACCCGGGTGTGGTTCTCGGACATCATGTCGCTCCTGGACGGCCCGCCGTGGCGGGTCCCTCTGAGGAGAGACCTGCTGTCCCAGGCGCAGGGCCGGGTTCTTCACCCTTGCCCCGCCATATGGCGACTGTGGGTCTGGCCCCTGAGGGGGCACTGTACCTAGAGGCGGGTCTAACAGCCGGAGCAGTCGAGACCCTCCTGAGCTCCAGGGCCCCGTCCACACGGATACAGCCTGAAGTGGAGTGTTCCTTCAGGACCGGTTCTCTGCTGGTCTTTCCCCTTCCACCCACAAGGTGTACGTGGCAGCTATTTCATCTTTCCACACCCCTCTGAGGGAGGGGTTCTTGGGGAAACTTCCCTTGGTTGTACGTTTCCTCCGTGGTGCCCGGAGGATGAGACCTGCGACTCGGTCCAAGGTTCCCACTTGGGATCTGGCAGTGGTTCTTGGGGCGTTGGCTGAGGCCCCCTTCAAACCCCTGGAGTCAGCTGAGGCTAAGCACTTGACCCTCAAGATGGCCTTTCTCCTTGCTATCACCTCTCTGAGGAGGGTGGGGGAGCTCCAAGCGCTTTCGGTTTCCCCGCAAAGCCTGGAGTTTGCCCCGGGGAATATTAGGGCTATCCTGCACCCTCGTTCAGGATACATCCCTAAAGTGCCTTCTTGTGCGGCAGGGTCCACAGTGCTGCAGGCATTTCATCCTCCACCTCATGTGTCGGCGGAGGACGGGAGACTTCATCTGCTCTGCCCTGTCAGAGCACTGAGTATTTACACTCTGAGGTCCTCCCGTTGGAGGAAGGCTGACCAGCTGCTAGTGTGTTTTGGGTCTCCCAGGGCCGGGCTCCCTGCATCCAAACATACTATTAGCAACTGGATTGTTCAGACTATTTCCCTGGCCTATCAGGTGCGCGGTTTGCCTTCACCTGTGGCTGTGAGGGCTCATTCTACCAGAGGCAAGGCGGCCTCTCGAGCCCTCCTT